TGACAGAGGAGCGCTTTGAGGGTGGGGGAGGGATGACCGGTTAGGCTTAAGGATTTGGCGGTTGGTTGGCGAATATGAATGGAGGTGAAGTGGGAGGTGGCAAGTGTCGGGAACCAAAAACCCTGTTCGAAGCGCACCGAGACTGTTCTGAAATGAACCAAACTTTTCCCTTCTGTCCTGGACACCTTCCCCGCAGCCCCTCCCTGGAGGGCCGGATTGAACTCTTGCGCGGGGTGCAGAGTGCAAAGACGAAGCGAGTTTTCTCAAAGGCCCATGGGCTCCGAATAAACCCTAGGGCAGAGCATGGTCGTTTTTTTGGTGGTGGGTGAGCCCGAGGTCCGAAACCTGTCTTTTGAAATGCGCGGCGCGGCCCCGCCGGGCCCTGCATGAACAGTAACACTATTTGGGCAGAGGAAGGGGCAGCCCCATCACACAGCCAGCGGAGGAATGTGGGGACCGGCTCCCAACTGCCCCGCTTTCATCCAACTCCAGAGGGCCGGGGTCTGTCTCTGTGTGCGCATTTTGCTAATTGCAGAACTCGGTGTGCATGAGGATTTTTCTCTCCCGCAGGACTGTTTGCAGGTTGCAGCCTTATCTGGAGACTCTCGGGGGTGTTTGTTTGTTTGTTGTTTTTCCACCCTGCCTACACACCCAGCGAACAATCGCTCCTCCGACGCTTTTAAAGAGAGCGAGAGCCCCGCTTCTGCTGAATGCCCATCTCCCGCGCATCCCGGACCGGCGGGCTTTGGATGGCCACAATAATAAGCTGCGCCCAAGATTGTCTCTTGGGTCTCTGGTATTTCTTCTAGTTTATTTTTCCCCCTACTTTGTTTTGTTGGCAGCTTTCCCCAAATTAAAAAAAAAAAAATTAAAAATGAGAGCGTTTTCTCCTCGTTCACCTAGGTATCTGCTTTTCCTCCAGCCCCTGAAAATGCGACTCCTTCATAACACCAAAATTTGTGATTATTCAAATGTTGGGGACTGTGAAAAGAGAGGAAGAAAGAGAGAAAATTAATATTGCAGCTGTTCTTCTGATTAATGAGAGATAATTGCTCATGAAAAGTCACCCCTGTGGCATTTTGTTGTCTCCTGGATCTTTGTTCTTTTCCACTATTATTGAGGACTTTCTTGAAGACTAAGCGGTTCTTTTCAATTTTTGGGTATTCAGACAGGGTTGCCTGGTTACAGAGAATGGGGAAATCTCGGGCTATATCGGGTAAGATGTGCCACAGACAGCAATATCACAATGCCACTCGGAGAAAAGGATGGATACAAGTTAACGATGCGCTTTCAATAAAACATTCATAGACTTGTTCACGCTTTGATAATGACCTCATTAAAGGGAGCTGGGGGCAAGTAAGTCCTGTCTCCTGTTTGTGTTCGCCTAACAAAACCCAGCTTTGAGATCATTCATCGCTTTGGAAACTAATATGAAATCAATGTAAGAGAAGCAAATAAATCCGAGGCGGCCCCGCCAACTCCGGGGCTGTCCCGCCCTGCTCGCGGCCTCGGTTTGGGGCAGGAGAACCATGTGGACAAACGCTGAAACGCAGAGAAAAAAGGGTTAGGGATGGAGGGGGCTTTTTTTTTTGGGGGGGGGGCACTCAGAGGGAGGGGCAAAGTGGGTGTTACAGCCAGAAAAACCTCCGAGTACATCAATGGGTCAGAACTCTAGAGCCTGTTGAATAAACAACGCTGAGTCCCCGCCCTCAACTTTCTCTGACTTTGCCCATGAAAGGGAAAAAGGAGGAAGGAAAGAGAAGGGAGTATGGGGTTCAAGTCAGAGGTGATCCCGGATTGGGGTAAAGTATTGGAAGACTTTTTGAAAGCAGCAACCAAGAATTCAGATCTCAAGTTGAATTCTTGAGAAACTGCTCGTCCAGGATTACAAGGCGGCACCTCTGAACTGCTTTGATTTTTTTTTTTTTTCAGTTGAGGGTAAGGGTGGGAGGTCCAGACTAGGCAGGGGTTGGGGGGGTGGAGAGAGACAGTTTTGTTACCTTTGCATTTGTGACATCTTCTTGCACTCGATGAAGACAAAGCCATCCTGTCATCAGAGGAAGAGGGAGGAAATCAAAGGATCCCCCCCACTCCTTAAAAGAACTAATTTTCTCCTTGAATTATGAAAGTAATGGCTTAGGTAACAGCCTGTACTCTGTACCCGACTGCTTAATACCGAATAAATCCTTCCACGTGGCTCCCCGAGTCCTGGCAATTAGAGCTCATTATAGGCTCATAAGAGCTCTCATTTCAGGGATTACTTAATGGACGATGAAATTTTATCGGACAGAATCACTGAGAAATAAAATTGTGCAGCAGCAGGGGCACCACGGGGGCACGCCAACGTCTTCCCAGGGCCCCCTTCTCTCTGAGCTGATCTAAGATACTGCTGTCCTGGAGAAGCTTCTAGCTGGACAGGGAGAGCTGCAAGGCTGCCCACTGCCCTGGAGGGTAGGCTTCCTTGCGTGTGCGTGTGGGGGGCAGGGGGATGGAGCTGGTAAGGCATAGTGGGGCCTGGTTCTGAAGGTGGGGCTGAAGTGGAGGAAAGGACAGACAGACAGACAGACAGACAGTCGGAGAAACACTGAGAGATCCAACGGGGAACTAAAAAGAAGTCTAAGACTCTAATGCTGAACATGACCCCTACGCCCAAATATTTGCTCTTTCCTATTGGGCTCAATCAATTAACCAACTATGCTAATAGGCAAATTCCTCAGACATGGCCTGCTGCTCCCCTTGCAGCTCTAAGCAACCCCCAAAGCCTCTCACTTTTCTCAAAGTTCCTTAGCTCTCCAACCTCACGTTTCTGTAGCCAGGTGCACGTTTAGTTAGAAGCTCAAGCTTTGTCATTAGGATTCTGCAAGATAAAATGGTCCTCACAGAAGCACAACTTCCAGCACACGCTCGCTCATAGTTCTTCCTGGGAACACACCCGGAACTTCTGGGAATGTGGTGACCCAAACCCTCAGCCCAAAATAGATCTTGGATAACTTCTACCTAGTCCAGAGGAGAAAAGAAATACTATACATTTTATTTACATTTAAAATATCTTATAAATATGTTATATAATTTTAAATATATACCTACATGAATATATTACTTGCGAGTGCATGGGGCTAGCATGTCATCTGTGTGGACACGTTAGGCCTGTAAAAAACACCCTCCATGAAGCTCCTCTTGATGGTGGAGCGCCCACTCTTCTTTTGGGGGCGGAAGTATCCCAGGGACTGCCTGGATCCTCCTGATTTGATAGAGTGAGGTCAGGCTGAGCATCTGCGATGGCCAAGCCGGCAAACCTTGTGGTGCAAAAGTAGTTACAGCTGAGCTGCCCTGAGTTAAGCCCCGAGATTCCTTAATTGTTGTCACAAGATGTTGGATTAACACATTTCTGGAATAGCTGTCTGTTTACACTCTGGAGACCCACCGTCCACTAACCACTTTCTAATTGAATTCTAATCACATTCAAATAGCTCAATAACCAGCCTCAGCTGCAATTCATAAAACTTTAATTGCCATCCATAAATCCTGGGCTCCCCAGAGCAGGCGTCCCTACAACCCAATTACACTTCTCGAGCAGGCAGGAGAGACTGTCACAGAGATGGAAAGGGAAAGGAGGGACAGAAGGACAGAGGACAGAGAGACAGCCGTGTCTCCGCTAAGAAGCTGGTGCTCCCCTAGGATTTGAGCTCTTGGTTCTCACAGGTGTAGGAAGTCCTGCTGCCAGATTTCTAAGCACTACTGTGGACTCAGGCCTGAAATTAGCTGTTTTGGGGAAAGGGTCAGATTTGTAGCTGTTACTCACCCTCCCTATTCCAGAGAGAATTTTTCGGGGGGGGGGGCGGGGGGAGGAAGGGAGAAAGCTGCCACCTTGCCTCCCCCAAAGATCAATATCCCCCATCTGGCAGCCACCATTTCACGTAGCCACGGGTGTCCACATTTCCACGGAACCCTGTGCCACTCATAGATGTCCTTTTCCAAACACTCCTGCCATCGGAGGCTGGGTTCCTTGAATGGCTCAATTTCCTTCTATCCTTTCGGGATTTTAAATGCGTGCAGGGGGGACAGTGCTTCCCAGATAGTCTGTCGGCTGCCCAAGATCTGTACAATGCCAAGATGCAGGAGGGGGCACCCAGAGCAAAGAGGGCTAGGGCTTGGGTTCTGTCTCCAAAGTCATTGAATGGAGTTTGTAAGTGGTGGAGCCATTGAGAGAAAGAAAAGAGTGACTCTTCCACATCTCTCTTTGCCAAAGGGGGAGCTGCCCGTTAGAGAGGGACACAAAGAAGGGTCATTGATCTGACTAGCCCTAAGTGTAAAGGCATTTTAGAACTTCTCAAAATCAGACTGAAAAGCCCGAAAGCTTCTTAGCCGGGAGGCCTCACTGTCACTTCGGAATCCCTCCTGAACTACCCACATGCATGACCTTGACCAAGGCCAAAAGCTGGGAGACTCTGGCTGTGTCCGTGAGTCCGTATGTGTGCCCGTGGCCTAAGCTGTGCTCAGGGACTGGGCTGCTGCCAGTCTTTGCCTGCACAATCCCGCTCCAAGCTGCAGGCCTCCCTCTTTACCGCGCCTTCGTCACGGTTGGCGCAGAGGAGCCGGGAGCGCTGGGCATCCCTATTAAAAAGGCTTCAAAGTCTCCACCTGGTGTGCCCTGCGGCCGGGAGGGAGCGGAGGAGTTGGGCTGGGGCCCAGGATAGAGAAGAGGGTGGGATGGAGGATTCAGCTCTGATTTCTCGGGGGAAAGCGTGGAGAAAGAGGGGGAGGAGGCCGGCCTCCCCGCGAAATTAACAAAACCTACATTTTGCAAAGTCTCCCCCCCCCCCCTCAATCCCCCTCCTCCCAGTTATTCCCTGCCGCGCGCCCGCCCCTCCTCGCCGCCGCTTCTGTTGTGTGTGTGTGACTCGGGCAGCCTATCCCGAGGGTGGGGAGCCGCCGAGGAGCCAGAGCCGAGCGGTACTCCACCGCATCACGTGCCGGGGTGGGGGCTATAAAACCCCGGAGCCGGGGCGCCAGGCGGGCGGGGGACCTCGGGACCAGCCCTCTCCAGGGACCCCTTTGTTCGCAGCCCGGACGCCGACACCTCCGCATCCCCCAAGGGCTTGACCGGCTGCACCGGCTCCGCGCCCCGCGGGCAGAGCTCTGAGCAGGAGAGGGGAGGGGGCGCCGCCGCCCGCCGGGGACCCTCCAGCGACCCAACTCCTCCCAACGACATGTCGCGCTCCTTCTATGTGGACTCGCTCATCATCAAGGACTCCTCCTCCCGCCCCGCGCCCTCTCTGCCCGAGCCGCACCCGGGGCCAGATTTCTTCCTCCCGCTGGGCATGCCGTCCCCGCTGGTGATGTCCGTGCCAGGGCCCGGCTGCGCGTCCCGCAAGAGCGGCACCTTCTGCGTGTGCCCGCTCTGCGTCACCTCGCACCTGCACTCCTCCCGGGCCCCGGGGGGCCCCGGCGGCGGCGGCGGGGGCGCAGGGACCGGGGGCACCGGGGCCGGCGGTGGCAGCGGAGGGGCGGCGGCGGGGGGCTCCGGGGCCTTGCCCCTGCTCAAGAGTCAGTTCTCTCCGGGACCTGGGGACGCGCAGTTCTGCCCGCGCGTGAGCCACTCGCACCATCACCACCATCACCACCACCACCACCAGCCCCAGCAGCCCGGCTCGGCGGCGGCGGCAGCGGCTGCAGCGGCGGCGGCGGCGGCCCTGGGGCACACGCAGCACCACGCACCTGTCTGCGCCGCCACCACCTACAACGTGGCGGACCCGCGGCGGTTCCACTGCCTCGCCATGGGTAGGGTGGGGGCTCGGGGCACCTGCGCGCCGCGCCTGCTGGGCTCTCTCGGGAGGGAACTAACTTCCCTCCTGCAGCAGAGGGTGTGGGAGCTTGGGGGGCGGAGGGGAGGGAGGGGCTTTCAGTGTCACTGGGACGTGGTCCCCAGAAGTTCCATCCACCAAGGTGGAAGTTAGCTGGCCAGCCTCTCGGAGCAGCCTGGTGCGCTTCGTTTCTTGTCCCTGTCTCCAAGTGTTCCGCGCTTTGGGGGGCCTCGGGGACGTCGAACTTGAGGGCTGAGCAACTAGCTGATGTTTGGGGGTGGGTGTGTGTGTGTGTGTGTGTGTGGTGTTGGAACTTCAGTTGGTTAAAGCGTTGCCATGCTTTGGGCTAAGCTGGGCGGCCTCCACCTCTCCGCTAGGCCGGAAAGGGGGTGATCTGACTATGCCAGCCCTCTCTAGCCCCCCTTGAACCGTCCGGCTTTGCTGTTTCCACACACCTAAGTAAGGCCCTTCCGTGCATCTCTGTCCTTCCAGGCCAAGTAGCGGCGCGGTAGGAAGTGGGAAGGGCGACGGATGGATAGACACAGCTATTTGGTTGCGCTCCCGGAGTGGTCCTGGAGAGGGGTGGCACGGGGTGGGGGTGGGGGTGGGAGTGGGGATGGGGTGGGGTGGGAGCGCATTTCTTGGGAGTGACCTCTCTGCCCTGTCTTGGCCCGTGTGCAGGGGGCTCGGACGTTGGCCAGGTGCCCAACGGCAAGCGGATGAGGACGGCGTTCACCAGCACGCAGCTCCTGGAGCTGGAGCGGGAGTTCTCTTCCAACATGTACCTGTCTCGCCTCCGGAGGATAGAGATCGCCACGTACCTGAACCTGTCGGAGAAGCAGGTGAAGATCTGGTTCCAGAACCGCCGGGTAAAGCACAAGAAGGAGGGGAAGGGTGCGCAGAGGAACGGCCACGGGGGCTGCAAGTGCGTCGGCGGCGGCCAAGCGCATTACGCGCGCTCCGAGGATGAGGACTCCCTGTCGCCGGCCTCGGCCGCCGAGGACAAGGAAATCTCCCCCTTGTGAGGGGGGGTTCCTCTCAGCACCCGCTCCCGGAAGCACCCACTAAGCCAAGGCTGCAGGCACCCAGGGGTCAAATCCTCGCCCATGTCGCGGTCCCAGCGGCAAAAGCGCGGAGCCCAGTGTCCCCAGCGCGAACCCGCCGGGTGATCCTTCGCTTCCCATCTACACTCCTTGGCCTATTTGTTTAGGGTTCCGCTTTCGAGAATGCGAATAGATTTTGATTAAATGTAAATAACCTAGATTCCGCTCAGTCTTGTCATATAACAGGAGGAAAAAAAAAACACACCGCATTATTGGCTTAAGTTTAGCACTGTCCGGTTTTGTTTCTACAGCGAGTGTCCTGTGCCCTTCCCTACCGTCTTTCAGAACCTGATAAGAACACCGGGTTTCCTGATTAGTTTCTTTTTTTTTGTTTGTTTTGTTTTTTAAATAAAAGCATTGGTGTGCAAATAATTTAAAAAAGTAAACCCTGTAGGTCTTGCTTTCTGAAAACTTGCCTGGGGAGAGTTTAAAATCCCAGGGATGGAAGTCCCTTTTTATGTGAATAGTTTTCTATAAGATTCATATTTATATTTATTTAAATAAATGAAACAAAAATCAAGGTCTTGCAGTCATGGTGTTTGCTCTCACCAGCCTCCCCTGCCTCCCGCTCCCTGGGAACTGGGGGGAAAGTCTGTGAATTCAGATGGAAGTGTCGACTAAAACTTGGTACCGTGGGGGCACTGGGTGGAGGGAGGTTGGGGTGCTATAGGATTTCTGTGTAACAGAAGCTTCTGCCAAGGAGACACCTTCAGTCCTGATGCCATCCACCAGGAAGCAACCCCCATCCTCAAAACAGCTAACCTCCTCACAGCTGACAGGAATCACTCCATTTAGAGTGATGCTGACATTAATGACAGGCAAACCTTTCAGTTTACTTAGTTAGAAAAGGTGAAAATTCCTTACCTAGTATTTATTTTCTGTGGCAACACCCCCCCCCCCTTTTATCCCCCTTCTTCCTCGTCTCTCTTCATACTAAAAACAGAATTATGTGAAGACATTTGAATGGCTGGAATAGTTTTAGGGAGAGCACTATCCTTCAAAGCAGGCTGTAAGCGCACATGGAAACATACAAAGAATGCTGTGACTAGAACATGGCCATTCCTAAGAACTTGGCGGTTTTCACCAATGCCAAGAAAACAAAAGGTTACATTCTCACTTTTCTAAACCAGCTCAAGTGTGCCTCTGGACTCTCATTTTTATTTAATTCTTTTCTGGTCTCTCTAACTTTAACCTGAATTGTCTCCTTTCCAGTCCCCCTCTCCCCATCACTTTCCGGAGTTCATTCTGCAAACCTGTCCGGAGGAGACTGGCTGAGCCCTCCGCCGCAGCCTGGCACGGCCAGATCCTGGCATCGAAAAGAGCTGGGCGCAGGGAAACCAGGAGAGTCCTTTTCGGGAAGCTGACGCCCACCGGTGTCATTTCTGATTAGCTTCTGTAAAGATTCCACCCAAGAGGTCAAACCACAGGAACTTTTTACAGATAATACAGACTTCGAGGTTTGAATTACTTTAGGTCTGTAGTCACCAAAACCTCATCAGGTGGGGTTGGGACTCTAAAACAGCTCAGGAAGCTAATTTGGGAAGCAGGAGACAGGAGAGGATGTGATACAGGTTTTCCCTTCAGAGTCTCTCTCTCTCTTCCTCTCTCTCTTCCTCCTTCCCTTCCTTCTCTTCCCCATGGGAGAGGGGAAATCCCCCTTTCAGCTACTCCAGGCCTGTCCATCAATTCCAATTCGGGCACTGGCCCAGAGAGGCAGGAGGGAGGACAGACCTCATGGTGCCGAATTGAGCGGGCGCCGCTTTGTGCAGCGACTTAGCCTGGCCCTGCACAGTGGTTATGGGCAACCAGCTCGCCCGGGGGGCCAGGGAGGCTCAGCCTGTGGGTCTCTCTGGAGCGCAGCCTGCGGCCCCTCGCCCTGCCCACAGCAGCCCGCTGCCTTTTCTCAAGATCCCATCTTCTTCCTTCCCGCTAGACAGGCCTCTCCAGGCCCCAGTACGCCTTGGGAGGACTTGATGTCAAGGAGCAAAGGAGTCTTTAAGGGAAATTCCTGCTCCGGATGGAAGCCCCTGCTGCCGCTTTCTGCCCTCCTGTCTCTCACCAAGCCTCGCCTGGGCGGTGGGCAGACACTTCCTCCTCCGATCCACACGTGGTCGCCCCCTCTGTCGCCCACCCGCGCTTGGACCTGGCCCTCCCCAAGTCCACGCCAGGTCAGGGCCTAGCCTCTGCGCCGCCGCCCTGAGCGCACAGCCACCCACTGGCCACGCCCCACGCTGCCAGCTCCACCGCCCAGCCAAGGCCATGGGGCACCAGCCCTCCTGGACTGGTTTTGAGCTGCTTGCCTGGTCTCAGCCCCTCTCCGTCCTGTCTTCAGGGAAATTGCGCTGGAAAGAGAGAGTAAACAATGAATTATCACCAGAAGCAAAGAGATCCTTGGCAAAGATACCTATCTAGTCATTGGACAATCTCCAAAGAAAGGTCCCCTGAGGTTGTTGGGGAGGGGTGCGGTAGGGATATCCTATTTGTCCCAGGACATTCTATGCCCAACCGACCTTCTGATCACTTTCTGAGTGAATCCTGAGTGGATTTTGCATCCATCCCCCCCGCTCTCCCCCAAATTAGTTGATGTTTTTGAAGTTTGCAAATCAGAATAAGGTTTTGGAAATCTGTCTGCTTTTAAAGGCCTATAGTTTCTCTTTAGGTTAAGAATACTTAGGCTAACACTCAGATACACAAATGCTCTGCTAAGCAATATTTTTTTTAATTTCTTTATTGATTAAGGTATCATATATTTGTCCTCAACCCCTCATTCCAATCCCACCCCACTCATGCCCCCACCCTCCTATTGTCCCCCACCACTGGTTAGGCTCATATGTATGCACATAAGTCCTTTGGTTGATCTCTCTGCTAACCAATCTTGATATGAAACACTCCCAGGGAAGCGGCTCCAGGTTTATTAGGGAAGACTGTTCAAGATACATGGGGTCACCCTTGACAACTTTGCTACCGGAAAAGCACCGTATGCCAGTTTTTCACTGCCCCCTCTTGAGAAACAGGACTCGGTTCCCACGAACCCTGGCCTCTCAGGGGCCTATGGACACATAATGGAAAGAGAGAAAGAGAATGAGAATGAGAAAGCAGGACCTTGCTCCACGAAGAGGAAGGAAGTGAGCTGCAGGAGCCATTAGTGTGGTGGAGTCTGCCTCTGGGAGAAAAGTCCTATGGCAGCTTCAAACAGGAAAAGAGTTGGAGGGAGGGAGATGGAGAGCAGGGAGGATGACTTCCTGCCCTTGCATCCTGAGCCAGTCCAGACATTCAGAGAAAAGAGGAGGAGCAGAGACCTTTTCCCTTCACCTACCCACTTAGTGACCAACACATACCCAAGCCAAGCCCAACACTGACAGTGGCACTCAGAAAGGCTTCTTGGTTTCACCCAGCAGCCCATCCTAGGGAGCCCATGGGCCCAGGTGATAGAGACACTGGTGAAGATAGTCCCCCTTCCCCTTATTCTAAAGTGGTCATCACAGCTTGGTTCCCACCCACCTCATCCCTCCAAGGACATCTAAGAATATTCTAGGAGAAAGAAAAATATGGGACATCAAGTCTTTGATTTCTGGCTTCCTCCCCGCTTCCCTCAGTCCTACTCCCTACCAATTCTACCCTTTTACATCTGATCTGGACTAGAACTGTAGTTTGTTTGGTCCACCTTGTGGTCAGGAAATTGCCAGAAAGGTGATTGCTCTAGCTAAAAGAGGTCACAGAGGGCGACAGTATGTATAGGTGTATGTAACATGTATGTACATGAGTGTGTGAGTATATGTGTGCATATGTATAAGTATATGTGAGAGAGAAAAATAACTATTGGTGATGGTCATGTTATAAATAGAGTTATCTGAGAAAGACAAATATCACATGATCTCATTTATTTGTGGAATCTAATGAACAAAAGAAATTGACCAACAAAATAAGACCTGAAGCATGGAAGCATGGAACAGACTGACACACCTCCATGTGGGGTTGGGAGAATGATAAGAGATAAGCCAAATAACTTATATACTTATATACACAGCTCATGGACACAGGCAATAGGGTAGTGAAGACCTGGGGGGGTGTGGGTAGGGGCTGAGAGGAGAGGAGTAAAAGGGGGAAGGGTAAAATGGGAGATATCTGTAATACTATCAACAATAAAAATATATTTTTTTTTTAAAGAGAAGAGTTATTTTTACCAGTTTTCCTTCCCCTCCCAACCCCATTTATAGCTTTCCTGCAGGTTCCACTCATTTTTCATCGTACTTCTTGGGAGATATTTTGGAGGGAGGTGGGTAGGTTCTCAGAGTTGGGTTGAGGGAAGGAATAAAAAGCTGAACATTGAGGGGAGACTAGAGAGAGCAATGGGCTGGATCTTAGGCCAGACCTTAAGGGTGTGAGAGGAGGAGAATTACACTTCCAATAGAAGCCATTTGCTAGAGGAAATTTGGCTTAAAGGAGCAGTTGCTGCTTTAAAAGGAGCTCCTCCTATCCTCTCCAAACACAACCTAACACCTTCTAAACGTGAATGCAGCTCAGTGCATCAAAGCAATTGTTCCTATTTTCATTATTCACAGGGATTCTTTGTATGTACCTGTTAAGGTGACAGACCTCTTAAAAGAGAGCATTTTTTTCCATGCAATTAAATGGTGCATTTACTAGGCTTCTATTAACATAATTAATATAAACTTATTTTATAAATCTTTAGGCTCACATTACTGAAAATTGAGCCTCTGGGGGCAGGGGGAATACCTACATCTCTTTCCTAAATTAGGGGGAGTTGAATCCAAAAACTTGTTATTCCAAGCCAATGGAAATATTAAAAGTAAAGAAATCTTTTGTATTGACTTTTGTTAATGGTGGAGGCATGAAGAAAAGAGGCAGCTTTTCTCACAGAAAATGAGAAATTCCACAGAGATTCATGGAGGGCGGCTGGGGAGGGGCCAACAAGAACAGGAATTTAAAGACATCTCTTAGGATCAGGATGGACTCAGAGCTCAGATGAAAAAAAAAATTAAACCCAACCTTGACTCATATTTGGAAGCAAGTTTCTTCTGTTTGGGCAAGAAAAATCCGAAGCCTCGGACCTCACAGTCCTGAAAGCTACTCCACGAGGAGGTAGGTAAACTTGCGTGTCCCCCTAGCTGGACTCCTTGTTCTCAAGGGCACCCTCCAAATTCTGGGCATCTCATTGTCTCTGAAAATAGGGCTTTGTGTGTCCGTCTGTCTATTGATGTCCATGCTTGTCCTCTGCACTGGGCATTGCTTTTCTTCAAGCTGAGCCCTGTGTTTTCCAGAGCCTTCCCCGTACCTTTGTTGACCCTTCCAAATCCCAAACCCAGGAAGGCCTCAGGGGCTCCTCTGAGCGAATCCCCACAGATCGGAAGTGTGTGCTGTGTGCTTAGGAAAGTAACTAGTTTCAGATTAATGAAGCAGTGACAATTTCAATCTGCTTAAAGGCGGAGGTTGGCACTGCCCAGGCCTGAGCGTGGGGAGCTCGCCAGGCTGGGCTTTATATTGTCTGCTTTTC